AAAAATATTGTTATAACTACATAGACAACCCTACAAACCTGTACCTATTTATACTTAGGTCGTTTCCATTTCACGTATTCTCATCCCAATTGACCCCTTTTTCGTTGTTATTTGTACCTAACACGTCCCCAATATCCCCAAAAACAACAGATTTTTACATGTATTTTTATTTAATCAAATACATTAAAACCAATAACAACTGAGACTTACCTTTAATATATATGTTGGTTCAAACACTAAATAACGTTTATAAATCATAGTCGTCTTCTATTATTATCAAATAAATAAAAGAGAGCAAAGTTTCTAGCACTAAAATAATTACCACCGCAGGAAGTTAATTTCAAAAGCGATTTTTTATAAGTTAGCAGCTATTATCATGCATATTCAGAGTTGTTTTGTGAACTTTCAACATTCTACTATTAAACTACAAAAAAAATGGAAGATTTTGCAACGAATATAAAACTTATATTGAGCGTCGAAAGATTTTCCCGGTTTTTTCCCGATTCACCTTTCAATCCCTAATCGCCCCATTTTACCGGTATTTATGATTAGTGTCATGATGAATAGATTCCGACCGAAAAATGGTGTCCGATATTTCGGATTCAAATATATTAAGTGTATAATCTATGTTTCGGATGAGGGCTCCATAATGAATTTAAATATATATAGATAATAGTTTTGGGGCATCGACTTTCAAATATGTTTTAATTATTATTTTTGTATGTTTTAAGCATGATAAAATTAGAAATTTTATATAAGCAATCATATTAAATCGATATCAAAGTCAATAAATAATGTACAACCCAAAACAGACGGCCGAACTGACGTGACAATGACATTTGACGCGCTAAACATGGCGGATTTTCGGCCTCATTAGACAGAGACGGAGACATTTACGTATATTCATGTTTCATTTTATGTACGCACTGAAATACTGTTATATTGTTTTCCTGCGAGTTAAAGTGCTGAGTAAGAACGAGATAGATATATGTTTATGTGTGTGCCTTCAAAATGGGTGCTATTTATCAATTGTACGTATAGAACAATATGTCGTGTCCCTACTATATACATATATTAAGTGTATAATCTATGCTATATAGGTCTATGATAAAAAGTGAGAGGACATGAAAAAAAATTTACTTGAAAGTGGAATTAAATCAGATGAGGTAAGATAATATCTAGGCGGAATTGAAAATTTCGGAAATTAACGAAGTGACACAACATTACTATTTAAAAATGTATTTATTGCTTTTCGAAATTCCGCGAAATTTGACACATTTTTCCATACGATGGAACCAATCATTGAAGCAACCATTCCATTCGGAAGTTGGGGTCTCCAAAATGGCCGTTTTGTAGGCGTCCACAGCTTCTTCAGGTGATGAAAATCTCTGTCCACGCAATTTATTCTTTATTTTAGGGAAAGTATAGAAATCATTAGGGCTTAGGTCGGGGCTGTACNTATTCCCCTCCTTTTGTAATGGGTTTTATCCTACTATTATTTTTTTTGGTTTTAAAAATTATCGACACTGGTCTATTATGCGCGGGGACATCATAGGAGGTTCGGCCCCGGCCCGAAAAAAAAAACGTATGTTATATCATACAGATCAGTGTGCTTAGTGCGAGTTTTGAACGTTCTCGATAGCGTAAAAGTTAATTCAAATTTGTATGGAGTTGGAACATTGCCAGGCAATGTAATCGACAAAGTTAAAAAGCTCGCACTAAGCACACGGTAAAAAATATCTATCCAACTTTGTCAAATTTCCCCAACAAATAGTGGCTGCAAACAAGTCTCATCGATGCGTTCTTCAGGCAAATATTTGGGTGAAAGTAGGCGCCAACAGGTGGATCTGTTGTTATCAACTTACATAACGTGTACTTAGCGTTATTACCATGTGCGTGAGAGTGTGTATAATGAGGTAATGAAATGAAAACAATGTAATTTTATACTTGTCGTCTGTGATTGTTAGTCTATGGTGGAATAGTTATATTCTCTGGTATAATAATATGTAGTTATATTTTATTATAATAGCTATTAAATATTTACTGGTGGTAAGACCTCTTGTGAGTGCGTACGGGTAGGGACCACCACCATGCCAATTTCTGCCGTGAAGCAGTACCTAATGCGTTTCTGTTTGAAGGATGGGGCAGCCATTGTAATTATACTGAGACCTTAGAACTCATATCTCAAGGTGGGTGGCTGGATTTACGTTCTAGATGTCTATAGGCTCCGGTAATCACTTAACACCAGGTGGGCTGTGAGCTCATCCACCCATCTATATAATAAATAAAACAAATCTAATGTTAAAAAAATAACTCTGTCGACATTGGAGTGATGTACATAATTAATATTATTTTAATATTATATTCACGCTTAGATTATTTTTTTATGACT